ACGTCGCATTTGTTTTATCGCCCCCTCTACCCTGATGTACATATATATTTTGATATTGTCGTATCTTCGCCTCCGCCATGTCATATTGACAGTAACATACATTTAAACGAGTTCTTATAGAATATTGTTTTGTATGTGTGTATCTACATACAAACTCATATGAGTATCTCATGTCTGCCAGTCCTTTGCAGTTTTTCCACTTTCAAAGCTCATTGGTGTCACAGCTGTGGCTGCTACTTAGTCTGGCTCCTGCCAGGTTTGCACCGCCGCCCGCTGACATTTACATGTCGCCATTGTTTAATCCTTTTATTATAATTTTTTTTTGCGTTTTGCTTTCATGAACGTGTGTTGGCAATTAAAATGGGAAAAATAACAAAATATTGCCACACAAAGGAATTTTCTATTTATGTACATACATATGTATGAATGTATGTGAGAACAGCAGCTCAGCAACCAACAAAGCGTTTTGCCGTTGTATCTAAAGAATTTCACCTTCGCCTTCATGTGAAGCCCAACAGATCGGACGGCGGTTGGGCGTGTTGCAAATGTCTCTAAGTGTCGTCTGACTGACGGATTAACGGTCTGTTAAGATGTTGGTTATATTATGAATATATATTTATTGCTATTATTGCTTTTGCGCGAAAATTTTTATGACAAAACCTACACAAAGGCCTATTGATAGCCCACTGTGCTTCCTGAATATATGTATGTAAATATGTGCATACTTCTGTCTGCTTATGTACGATTATGTATGTACACAGGTATAACAGTACATGCATTTTCTAACACATGTGTTTGTTGCAAATTTGCTGTTGCTTCTTCTTTTTTCTAGTGTTGAATGATTTATAAAAGACGGCTGGTTGTTGCTAACGAAACAGTCAATGCTTTCAGTTGTTATTGTATGCATATTCTTTCTTTTCTGCTCTTCACTGTTGTTGTTGTTTTTGTGGCACATCTTAATTGTTGCTTAGCTTATGCCAATGCAGTGAGTCGCTGCTACAGTGAACGAACTGCAAAGCCGAGTGAGTTTAGCCGTATTTATTCTCATGTGAGTGGATTGCATATACAAACGACAGTACATAAGTACATTTAACCACAGAATGCCCAGTTGTTGTAGGCTTCCATAGCCAACTTGGCTCGCTTTGCATGGGTAGCTGAGTGATGAGAACATCCCCATAACAGAGAGACATCTCGGCCCACAGTGTGAGTGCGCTAATGAGTGGCGGCTATTGCTGCTGTGGGGGGTATTCACAACGCGTATTGTCGGTTGTATGGGCGATATATGTATATTTTCTGCAACAATAAGCGAACCAACTGCTATTAACGGCTATAATTATTGTACTTAAGCGAAAATAAGGGAAGAAAGAAAAGAAAAAAGAAGGCAGATATATGCAAATAGCAACATCTTCTTACAAATATGGTTAAACTCATATGCATTATGTCTTGCCACATGTACATGAAAACTAATAAATATCTAATGGCCGAAGGCATTGACATGAAAATTGGTCGTTTAAAGGCATGAACAGCCAAGCCGTTTTTTTTTTTGTAATTAAAGATTTCAATATGCAAACATATATATGATTGTATGTAGAATGAAATAATTAACAACTGTTAATTTTACTGTAGCTCACTACATTCATACATACATACAATATGTATATATCAGCATTTTCGATAAGTTTGCAATAAACTGCTTACTGAAGACTTAGCGCTTGAGCAATGAAGCTTAGCGCATGCACCGTTTTCGATTGCTTCAGCAATTCTTTTTTTTCGCTTTTTTATTCCACATATGTATGTGCATACCTACAAATATTGTCTATTGCTTAGCGTTCAAGTTCCGATTCATTTCATACCACTGTCAGCGTTGTTGTTGCTAACTGCACAATATGTGCTTATATGTAAAGCTATTTATTTATGCATTTCATACAATATGTACATGCGCTTGTGTATGTACGTGTCAAAAGTCAAAATTACTGACATTAATAGCATTTTTACTGTCTTCAACTGATTTGGTTTTTATACAATTTATTATTGAATACTTAAGTAGTTTATAGATGACTATTCTATACTTTTTCTACTTAAATAGAGTATAAAAATTGATGGGAGGAAGACGAAAAAGACGACAATTCAAAGGCAATCTAAAAAGAAGAAAAAACCATAGTCTCCATTAAACTAGTTAAAAATCACAAAATCCATCGCAGTCAGCGAAGAGTCGGCCTATGTCTTTCTTTAAGAATTTCAATGAATCATTTCTGGAAATACTGCATGTATATTGGTGACGCTCACCTCAATATATTGTCCAATAATTTTTAAATGTAGAAGTGCAATTCAAAAAAATCAAAAGATTAAAATTTCCTAGCAACTCGCTGCAAAAGTTTTAGTGGGGTATCGGTGCATAATTATCGGCGTATAAAAATTTAAAACCGAGAAATGAGCACCATACAGCGGCTTCTCCGTTTCTTATGGCAGGGATCGAACCAACGGTTCCTGACTTAACAGGGGAGTGTTCTACCACTGCACCAACATCAGCCTTATAATCTATTGTTGTATTATTCAATTCATTATTAACCAACAACTATTAATAGATTTATTTGTATTTTTATTTATATATTCCTTTTTTCAATTCAATGGATTGTATTATATTTAAGATTTGATTTAAATTTTTGCCACGTAAGAAGTAATTTAGCTTTTTCTATGCATATTATATTATAAGGTTCAGCGCCATGTCATCATTTAAAAATTTCCAAAAAATTTAAGATAACTATTGTTAGGGACCAGTACTGTCACAAAATCCAGCCGCATTGTACCAGTCTTGGTAATTCAATCCCTTTCTTTTCTCTAACTACCTACACATTGCAGTAACAGTATTCCACATATACAGCATTTATTTAAATACATACAAGCTTATAGATCAGAATGCGTAAGTAAGCTTTTATGTATGCATGTACAATAAACGTCTTCACTTTCAATATTATTATGTAACTATGTACATATACATATATGTGTGAACGTATGTATATTCGTATATATGTATGTACAGAAAAACGAAAGAGCCAACGAGCAAATGTCACGCAAACATGTCAAATGCACGCCCCACCACACCAAACAAGAACGTACTGCTGATTTCCAGCTGAGTTGCCAGGTGATTTCGTCCGTCCCAACTCTCTCCCCATTTGATGTAATACACGTACATTGACTTTGTTGGTACGCAAACATACATGCAAGCATGCATTCACAATGTAGACCAACGAAAACAACAACTCAGCTGTTTGCTCCAAATAGCTGTTCACCTACTGCTAGCTAGCATTGAGAGAGCTTTTTGGGCTCGTTTCGACTGTTAACTCAGCGCTGGCGCATTGTCCGCTATCAACTCATTGCAGTTTGGTCTCTCTCACAATCTCCCTGTTACTGTGCGTGCTGTTGAGTACCAGCTGACGGCACTTGCATACATGCATATGTATATATGTGTATATGTAATTGCATTTACAGCTAGTGGAGTTCCATTATGCATTTCTGCTCTTTTCACTTTCGTTTACTGTCAGCTGTTCGCTGTTGGCTGTTGACTGTTGGCTGTTGACTCGCACGTTTTTATGTTTTTATTTTTAACAGCTGTTGTTGTTATGGACTTGTACATACATGAAATTAGGGAATGTGTATTGAGAATGAATATTCTTGTATGTGTGTGCTCTGTGCTATATAAGCGTCTGCTGTTTCATTTTCTTTTTTTTTTTTTGAAATGTAAATAAAATCGCTGTTACTGCGACCTTTGGACACTCCTCTGTAGTTTGATAACATAATGTTTGGGGGATGAGTGTTTCGGTGGCACACAACAGCTGTTTTTTATTTACACTGGCATACATACCGGGCAATCGCCGGCCGGTGTAATGTGCGCATATGCTGGTTTTGATGGGCGAATAAATCGTGGAAAATTTTTCATTCCCGAATTTTAACGTTGAAAAATGTGGATGCAAGGTTTTACATTAAAATTAATTGGATAAAAATAGTTATTTATTTAAAAATAAAGGTGCACAATTTAGTTAAAAAAATCACGCGTTTACAAAAACAATTTTGCATAAGTGAGAAAATTCCTTAGCAGATGACAAGTTTAAATCCACAAGAATTCCGTGTACTTGATTGAATACGAAGGCATGTACACGTGTATGTAAGGAGATAAAACAACAGAAAAGTGAGAAAGAAATGGCAGACGAGCCAGCACATGGCGGGTGTTTAGTAATTTATTCGGGACTGGATTTGGTTTTTTGAAAAGAGCATTCTGAAAAGAAAGAGTAGTGAGATTTAAATTAGCAATTATATCCATAGTAGTGGTCTGAGTAACACATGTACATACGAGCATCAAAATACTACGCAAGCAAAACAATAAAATTAACATAAACAAAGAATCAGGCCAATAAATCTGCGCTGCTATTATATTATATAAACAGAGCAAAGCACAAGTAATTCAAGGGTCGTATTACACCACTTCAACGCCCACTTCAAATGCCATGCCAGCAAACATATGGTGGCTGAGCGGAATCGCGAAATGACTTGTGACAAAATTTTAGTATAAATGGAACGTAGAAATCTTAATAAATTTAATCAATACTCAGAACCTTTGTTGTTTGTATTGATTCACATTTCGGCTAACGAATAGTAAGCCTAATGATTAGCAGAGTTGCAGACTGCTGTTGAAGTACTAATTGCAACAAGGTGCAAGAGGGCATTAGGCATCCTTATGAGGGTAAGATGTGTATATGTACATATGTATCTGTAATATCTACCGCTGCCCATCGACTCAAGACAAACGAAGAAGATTGATTTTGAAGCGCATTATTTGTACATATGTATGTATGTATGTTTCATAAGCCCATCAGAATTTACACATGCTGCCTACTATATTTATCTTTTTTTTCCATTCCACCTCCAACGACAATAATATTGACGTTTAATAAAAATCCGAAAAATCAAATAATTCCTTCTTCTCTTCTTCTTTCAATCGATAGACTGGACGAGCCCGTTAACGCCACCACCACCACCACCACCACCAACAGCAACAGCCTCTACAACAGCCACAACAGCATCAATTCAATTACCAACGGTCAATAATCTTAGCAGCGACAACGTTGTGCACAATCATCACAACAACAGCAACAATAGAAAGTTGAGTTATAATCATTACGAAGCAACGGCAACAACACGGGCCGAAGACTACGTACAACAACAAGAGCCAGAGGTGCTAGAAGAGTTCTGTGTCGAGGACGCGGAAGAGGGTGGTGACGTCGTTGACGGCGGAAATTGGTCTGCACCACAAAAGCAACAACACCAACAACCACACGAGCAACACTACAATCAACATAATCATCGCGAGCATCACTTTTATTATAACAATCACCATTACGGTGGTAATCAATATCAGCACCAGTACCACCATCACAATCACCACCACCATCAACAACAACAACAACAACAGCAGCAGCAGCAGCAAAAACAATACAGCTATTATAATCAATACGAACACCACCAACAACATTATCAGCAAAACGAGCAATTGCAACAACAAAAACACAACAAACTATCAACTCACCAAGAACAACAGCGGCAACAACAACAGCAACAGCAAAAAGTTGCGATCAACAAGAAAACTGCACACAACAATAAACAACCGGCCATGGAAGCCACCTACAACAACAATATGTTCTACTATGAACCACCAGTCGCATCGGCAATCACACCAGACGGTACGCCAACATCGGGCAGTTGTTTTGGCAGCGCCACTACCGATGTCGATATCGCCGCCGTCAATGAGCTGGCTCACCGTGTGCAGACGGAATTGCGCGACGCGAAGAAACGCCATTTGGACTGTACCGAAGTGTCGCTGCCATATGATCTCATGCCGCGCATTGCGGCCGAAATAATCAAGGCTTCGGAGCGGGAACCGTGTGGCGTCCGGGGCTGCTCGCTGTACATAGATTTCGAATGTGAACCGGGCAATGTGAGGTAAGTTGGAAAATATAAACTTTTAATAAATATCAATATTTTTGTCATGAATTATGTATTAATATACATATATACATATTTACTATACTCCTTTACCGACTTCCTTTTTACTTATAGACGCATTGCCTACTTCAAAGTGGACGACTGCACCGTCTCCACCTTCGAGCTCTATCTCACTCTGAAGCAGGACAAAAGCGGCTGGACATCGCTGTTACCACAATTTCTCAAGTAAAACTCTTCTTTTTCTTTGCATTATTTTATAATTTAATTTGTTAACCTTTTCACGCAGAAATCTAACACGCAGCAATACCATTTTGATCAGCCCCGATTTCACCTTGACCAAGAACAAGCTTTATTCCTGCGATTAATGGGCTTGGAGGGCATGTTTTAGCTGTAGACGGTTACGAGAAGGGAGCTCTTTTGTATTATTAAATATATATATACAAGCATACATTACCTACCCAGAGATCTCATTTATACTCCCTCACTCAACCATACAAAGAGCAGATAAAAACAGAAAAAAAAACAAAACAAAAATAGAGGGAAAAATTCAAAAACAATGGAATGACATTGAACGAAGGGCATCAGAATTTGGTCAATTGCGTATTATTAGCTATTAACATGTAGAGCCGCAATTTATGTGCTATGCAACCATACATACATACATACAAACAAACATATTTTCTTTTAAATTATTAAATCATTCAAATGGGCGTGGCTTTAACTACAACTAAAAACAAATAAATTAAATTAAAATAGGAGACGATGAAGACGACGATTTAATGAAAGAACAACAATTACAACAACAAAACCATGAACAACGCATAACGAGAATACTTTACTTTCTCAACAATCCCTCCGAATTTCATTATTTTTTACTGGACACCACAAAGTCAGCAAAACAAATAACAAAGTCGAAAGAGGCAATAAATAAACAACGTAAAAAGTGTTAAAACTAGTGGATGAGGAGAGAGAAAAAAAACCGCTATTTTTTTTTTTTTTTTTTTGGAAAAGACGAGCCAAGCCATGTGCTACAGATGGCAAAACTCGAAAGGGAAATCAAGAACAAACAAATTTTCATTTTGCAATAACAACAAAATAGTAAACAACTTTCGAAAATATGCAAAAACAGCAATTCAAAAACGATAAGCCAATCAAAATATACCAACTACAACTACAACAATAATAGCAACAGCAGCAGCAGCAGCAGCTGCTGCAGCAGCAACCATATTCAACAAATAGAAATTTCAACAATGAAAACAACAAACCAGCAATTTAATTTGAACCGCGTATTGGAAAAAATCGAAGATGGAAGATGGCCGAAATTAAGGAACTCAGCTAGCGTAACTACACTTACACATACATGGGTTTTCGTAGCATAAGCGCAGGCGTAGAAGCTGCGCTGAGTGTACACAAAGCTGAAAGCAGAGCAGCAAGCAGCGAATTAGTGACTGCTATTTTCGGAAGACTGCATTCGTTTAGATGAAGAGAATATAAAATATTTGTAATTTATAAAATTAAAAAAAAAAAAAAAAAAAGTAACTAAAGCAAAAACCAAAACAGGAAAAAATCCAAGAACATAACTGGAAGAAAACTTAGAAAGCAGTCCCCAACTAGCGTTCATTAGCTGGTACAATGACAACAACAAGCAGCATGTAAAAAAGCATGTGAAAACATAAAAAAAAAACAACAGTTTGACTTATTTCCTTTTTCTATGCAACAAGTGAAAATTTCAATGCATTTTTTTTTTCGAAAAAGTAAGCAAAAAATCTTTTGAACAAATCAAAAACAAAGCAAATGTGGAAAAAAAAACCTTTAAAGATAATGCGATGAAAAAAACGCAAATACAAACAAAGTCGATGTGATATTAATTAATAATAATAATGTTAAAATAACTAACTCATAATAAGAGAGAAACAAATAAATGTTAAATTTAAAATTAAAATTAAACAGCAAACTCATTGGTATCAAACACACAATTTTTGAATTAGTTTTTAAATTCATTCAATTCTTTTATTCAAAATTTTATTATTACTTTTATGACCAATTTTTTTTTTTTTTTTTTTTTTGGTACGCTGTAGCACAACAAATAGCAAGTTGGAGTTGAAAGAAGATGGTGAGAAATCAGGAAGAAAGTCAAATAGGCATGAATCTTCAAGAACAAAACTCACCGAAAACTTTTCTTTTGCTACTGAAATCGAAAAAAAATGCTTTGAGGCAGCCTCAGCAGCATTAGAAATCACTTTTGGAAATTACCTGAGATATTTTTTGCACTTTCAAATTTTTATTAATTTTTTTTTTTAAGAAATATTTCTTTGCGTCAACTTTAATTTTTCTACTAAATTTATTTCTATTTACATTTCAGTTAAATTTTTCACACTAAGCCTTTAGGCTTTTAATGTTTTTTCCGTTGACATAATTTTTGTTTGGGTTTTATGAATTTTTCTTTTTCAAGAGTGAAATAGTTTTTAGATTTTGTGTAAATTTTTTGACGTTTTTAAATTTTATACGATTTGTTAATGACTTTTAAAGCAATTAAGGGAAATTTTAAAACGAAATTAATAGGAAGAACAACAAATTTTCTAATTTTTTTAAGCTTTTCAATGTGCGATTTTCAATAAAAAAAAAAACACAAAATCGTTGTGCTAATTTCCATAGAGTTTGATGCAAAAATAAACTTATTATTATTATTATTTATTGACAAACTAAATTGTAAAATTTTTATTTTAATTATTTTTTCGTTTTCTGAGTGTTTCAACATTTCAAATTTTATTTGTTATAATGCTTTTTAAAAACTTTTCAAAATTTTCAAAATCACTATTTTAACAGCTAAAAATGGTTTACCTTTTTATTAGTTTTATTTCAAATATTTATTTGAACTTCACACAAACACACATAAAAGCATACAGAAAACTCAATCAATATAAATGGCGTGCATTTTGTAGTTTAGCGTAGATCTTAGCTTAGTTAAGTAAACAGAAAACAAAACAAAACAAAACAAAAAAAAAATAAATTATTATATTAATAAAAGCAGAGAAGAAGGCAGCAGCAGCTAAATACAGTTAAAATAGCCCACAAACTACTTACTAGAATACTACAGCAAAAAATAGCAAACTCAAATTCAAAAATCAAAAATCAAAAATCGAAAATCGCATCAACAATAGCTACAAATACAACTACACCGGCTTAACAAGAAAAAAAAATATATTATTATTAATTGTGCTACGCAAAAACAATAACAGAATATCCCTACTAAACTATATGTATATCAGCTATCAACTATATATCTATCTATACATACAAAAATATATATTTCAATAGACAATGCAAAATGCAGCTCAATATAGTACAGCAAAAAATAATAGCAACTAACCATATACACACACATACATTGATATAAGCAAACGAGTTGAGAATCAAAGTTTTTTATAAGCCGCAAAAAGAAAAAATATTCAAAAAAAAAAAAAACAAAAAAAAACTAAAAAATATAAACTTAAATTTAAGCAAAGCAAAAATGCAAACAAATCGTCAAAATGAAGTGAAAACAAAACGTAGTGGGTTAGGACCAACCACCAATACAAAAATCATACATACTTACTACACATGTATGTACAATAGTATGTATGAATAAGTGGAGGTCCGAAAAAAAAGAAACAAAAACAAAAATTAATAAAGTATGAAATTTCGAAGGTTCAGGTTGCTAAGAGGATTGAGTAGGAATTTTTTTCTTTCTATACTATTACTTATAGAGCAAAAGAGAAATGTATAAAACAAAAGTTATTATTATAAAAATATAATCAACAAGAAAAGGTGTGGAGTCCAATAGGCGGGAAAGGTGTGTAAGAAATGAAAGCAAAAGATAAAGTCATCTGTGTTATATAATAATGTATTAATAATATTAAAGTATATACATACCTAGTTGTAAGATTCATGTAAATACAATACAATGCAAACAAACAAACAAACAAACAAACATACATGCAGACATACATAGTGTATTTGATATAGCCATTAGTTAGTGTTAACAAATGTGAAGGTAGAATTTATGGAAATTAACAAATATTAATACTATTTTAAGGAGGTTAGCATAAGCCAACACACTACACAACAACACGAACAACAGATATACGTACATACAAATTAGCATTCATACATGCAAAATATATAATATATAAAATCATACCTACACGTACATACATGTTAAAATCATATGCAATTACGTAGGGGTTTAAAGTGTGGTCGGCGTGAAGGCAGACATTTGACACTTGAATTTTCGCTAAAAGTGAAATCAACGCAATAAGATTTAATTTAATTAAAAATGATTATTTTATTTAATACTTTTTATCGAAACTGAGGCAATTTATTATTTAACTTATTTTAGTAATATCTAAAAAAATATATACATATATTATTTTGAGGCATTTAACATATACAAATGTATGTATGAATGTCTAGCGGTTAAAAATTTATTTCGTAATATTAATTTTTTTAATCAATCTCTTCTCCTTTGGCCTTTTATTTGTGCTATTTCCAACTATTTTAATTTCAGTTTTAATTTTAATTTTAATTTTAATTATTATCACTACTGTCTACTGAATTTATGAAACACTAGCTAAAATCTTTTTTAAAAATATTTTTACAATGATTTGATTTAAATTTTTTAGTTTAGAAAATTATTTAAAAATTAAAAAAAAAAATTAAACTTTCCAAACCAAATAATATAGTCCCAAATATTGAGTTGGTAAAAATTTGAAATAACAAGAATTCAATTATGCGAATTTTATTAAGTACAAAAGAATAATTTCAATTTTAATTTTGATTATTTTGTGGATTTTCACTAACTAACTTATGGCAAAAAATAAATTTTTTTTTTTTTTTTTTTTTTTTTTTTTTTTTGAGGCTTGTACTCCTGACAGTATTGCCTTTAAAACTTTCAAATCTTCCTAAACTTCATATAACAAACTTGTAAGTTTAAATGAGCTTTCACTAATTAAAATACAAACCTGTTCAAAAAATAATAGATTTTCGAAAGTTTTGATTGATATTGAAAGTTTACTTAAAGTGAAAGCTCTTCCAAACAGCTCTATTATGATTGATTTTAGCGGAGCTTTCACGAAGTTACATGAAACACTCAAATTTGCTAAAAAGTAAGCGTTTATTCCCCAACAATTTTCCACTTCACAAGGCTAAAATTTTACTTTCAATTGAACTTTTCTAAGCTTATACTGACTAAAGCTTTTCTTGAACGCTCAAAAGCGCTGATTTCACCAAATAAAGAACCCTCAAACCTTTCCAATTACACAATGCATTTTAAAAACTAAAATCTTAGAATTAAATTCACGCAGTTTAATACATTAAAAGCATTATTAGTAATTAAAAGTAAATAAGAAATATAAAAATACTAACATTTTAACACACTTTGTTTTGCAAGCGATCTCCAATTTTGAAATAATTCCAATTAGCATAGTTATTTCAAATATTATATTAATAGCAATTTATTCTAAAAATTAACTAGGTTTTAGGTGTTTAAATTAATAAATTATCACACTTTTTTATAAAAACAAAATCACGCATTTAGAGCAAATCATATTTTCTTCTATTTGAACAACTACAAAAAGGCATAAATACCTACATAGAACACTTATGACTACAACAAACAACAACAATACACCCACACATATGCATACAAACAAAAATATGTATTAACTTATTAATAATGGAAAAAATAATTTGAATTAAGTAAAAATAAAATTCTATGAATGAGAAATAGAACCATGAATGTGATCTATAAATTAATGGAAAAGAAAAATAAACAAAATAAATTAGGCCTAGTAACTGAGCTGAAACAAATTCAAAACCATTTTAATGTAAACGCAAAATTATCGCTTAAAATATTTTTTGAATTTCTTTTCACTAACTTTGAAAGCTCACAAGGCAAACTTTTTACGGCTTTTTTAGCGCCTTTCTTGTATTATAGTAATTTATGAATTCCAGCAATTTTCGAATTTTCTCATTAGTTTTACCCCACCGAAAAGGGGAATTAATTTACTTTCATAATTAACTTTTTCACTTGCAATTGTTAAAGCTTTGTGTGTGGCAATTGATATAAATAAATAAATAAAAATACAAAATTAAAATAATTATATATACATATATATTATATATATGTATAATATTTTAAGGTGTTAAAAGTAAAATTAATTAATGTAAAAACTCGCTTTCAGTGTGTTTTCGTTGCTTTGAATATTTGCTTTAATTACGATTTTCAAATAATTTGCAGTATTTTGCATACATTTTGCTTGACACGCATAATAATTAAATAATTAAATTTTATAAATTTTAAGCTGCAACATTCTGTCATATATATATATATTTTTTTTTTTTTTTTCAAAATGTTCAATTCTCATTTTGCGCACTTTTAGCATATAAAGAAATGTGTGTGTGTGTGTTTTTTTTTAATAATAATTAACTGTTAATGCAACATAAATAGGATTAAATGCAAACAAAAACGAAAACAAAAACAAAAACAAAAAACTAT